GTACTGAGTGAATATTGGAAAACTGTAAATTGTAAACATTAATTTTATCTGTTGTCACATCTCATTTTGAAACAGAACAAGTGTAAAATATGTCGTTACAAAGTAAATATGATTTGTTTTCCATACTGTAACACTTGAATACCCAGCTCTCCTTAGTAGAATTAGAACTCTCTTTACATTCTGGTTTATTGAGATCTATCTGTACAAACTATATAAAATTCTAGCTTTAATGGAATAAATTAATGCAAATAAACCAGGAAATGAACAAAATAGAATTGACTTGTGCTATGTTGTCTCCTTTTTTAAAGTTATATGACTTTACAGTAGCTTTTCTGCCTCTGCAAAAGTTTGGGAAGGCTCCCTCTCTTTTCCTTAGAATCTAGAGTGGCAGCTGCAAGATAATAAAGCCCTTTCTAAATATTACTGTTGGTTGATCGCAAGTGACAAAAACACAACAAAGGGTGCATATCTGTCAGCCGCTTGGTTCTGCCACACTGCAGAATCAACAGTAAGCAATGCCCTTTTGTCCTGAAAGCATAGAAATAAAAAAATATTGAGAAAGGCGACGATACTCTAAAAATACCTTGTCTAAAAAACATGAAGAAGTGCTGCTGGCCTTCAGGGTTTTTTGTTGATTTATGTTCAAATAATTAATATTATGCAGGTCATTCAAATAAGACTTAGGCATTATCTGAACTGCACAGCAAGTTCATGTACCAAAAGATAGGATCTGTTAGAACTGGAAAGATACCAGAGTAAGAAGTGGAAACGTTGTAAGCCAGCAATTTCAGTTTTGAGCTCAGTGGTCTCTGGTTTGCTGTTGGGTTTGTGGTTTGTTTGGGTTTTTTTAGTGAGATGACTGCAATGTGTGCTAGATTTTGTTGAATCTCCCCATGTATACAACTGAACTGATTTTTCAGGTGTGGTTTTGATGGCTTCATGACTAAATTCTCCATGACACGTACTCAGTGCTTCAGTATATAACAAATCCAGTACACTGGCATGCTGTTAAAAGAAAGTCCCGTACTACAGCTGGTCAGTCAGATGTTAAATAAAGGGTTACTTAGTACTGTCATGACACTCTTTTAAATATTCTGTACTGTATATATTTTTGAACAGCAAGTCAGTATGGCACTTGATAAATGGCCCTGCAACTTTCCTGTCCACTGATAACCCTAATCAATTGACTTTGCTGCTGAGAACTTAGATCAAAGATGATGAGCTTTCTGGTTCATCATGTGCCTGTTGTCAAATGTATTTAAAACATCGGTTGTGGATCATGTCAGCTAAATTTCCATGGGCATGAAACTTGGCATCAACAACATTGGCTTGCAGTAGTCGATTTAAATGATCAAAGACAGAACAAAAGGGATGGATGGCAGTCATGATCAGCACACGCACAACACCCAGAGCCTTTGCCAATTACTGTGACCTATATCTTCCTCCAAATACATGCATGCACAGATGAATGTCAGTCCTGTCATTTGTTCTTGAAGGTTACAGACTCCAAAATCACTCAGATGAGGACTTTAGAGCTGTTCAGCCAAATTAGCCATCTTACCTAGAAGCTGGGATCAGATAATAATGCTTAATGAACATATTAAACTGCAAGCAAGTGCTCTGCAAGAATCCAAATTACCACTGTGGGATGTGCTCTGCTCTTCTTTTATACTATCTGGAATAATAATTTTTAAACATTACATGCTCTATGAATGCAATCAGAAATCTAAAGGCACGTTGATACTGTTCCCCTTTTGTATTGGTAAATCTTAAGGTTGTAAACCCCTCCCCCCCCCCTTAAAACCAAAAGAGCACCCAAGATATGTAACTTCATTGCAACAGCTCAATGAGTTTTAAAAAAAATACTGGTAAATACGCTGATTAATCACCGAATAGAAATTAGATAAGTTGTATTGGATTTTTTTTTTGTCATAAAATATTCTGAAAGGCCTGCGAGGGATTATGCCTCCCTCTGAAACTATTACCACAAAATTGATAATTTTAAAGAACAGGGTAACTTCAGTCTGACTGAGACATCATAAACTGCAAGCAGTAAATTAAAGCTCAAATCTATTGTAAGTGGAAAAGCCAATTTCAGTCCTCTGAAGAATCTATTGATTGTCTAATGAAAAAACAGAGGTAATTTATTGTTTTGTTTTTACTGGAGAGCTGCAATTCAATAATGCGCCTATGCATGGACTTCAATAGCACTTGAAGCCATCTGTAATTAGAGGCATAGACTCATCTACTGTACCACAGTACTTGCAAGAACATTTGGAAAGAAAAATACACCTACAAAGCATGTTGCTCCCTCTGTCCCTTCTTTCTGCCAACAGACTAGGAAAAGTTACTACTTCTATAATGATTTATAATGAGGAGATACTATTGTGATTGTAACAGGACCTACTTGCAATAGGCTCCCACTAGTGACCATCTATAAAGAGGCATTCATTGAATCCCCATCTGCCAAACCGTTAGAAAAAAATTGAATGTCAGCTGAGGCTATTTTGCCCTTTACAAAGAGAAGAGAAGAATAAGATGCAAAGTCACATTTCCCGCCCTGTGTAGGGA